TGGAAAAATTCACAACCTCTTAATTCATCTTAATCATTCTCAATCCCCCAAATCCTCGTATTGACCAAATTCTCCTCATCTTCTTAGTCCTCCCAAATCTTTCTATATTTCCTCATAATCCACATTATCTCATTTTCCTCATAATCCCCCGACACTTTAGCTCTCATAAATTCTCCTACTGAATATGCCATGGGCTTTCCTGGATTTGCTAAGGTTAACGAGAATTATAGTACTTATTTAAGAGTATGAGAGATATGTGGTTATATTAGAGACTGTGGTTGTATTTTTCAACTCCTCCATTTGATGTGGTTATATTAGAGACCGTGGTTCAAATAGAGACGTAGTACTATTAGAATAAATACGGTATTTAAAGGAAAACCAATTAATAAACAAACAAAATAATCTAATTTAAATAAAATATCAAGTATATCCAAGGACATTTTTTGAATTTTTTAGTAGAGCTGCTTTGTCTAAATTTTTAAATATTTAAATACCGTATTTATTCTAATAGTACTACGTCTCTATTTGAACCACGGTCTCTAATATAACCACATCAAATGGAGGAGTTGAAAAATACAACCACAGTCTCTAATATAACCACATATCTCTCATACTCTTAAATAAGTACTATAATTCTCGTTAACCTTAGCAAATCCAGGAAAGCCCATGGCATATTCAGTAGGAGAATTTATGAGAGCTAAAGTGTCGGGGGATTATGAGGAAAATGAGATAATGTGGATTATGAGGAAATATAGAAAGATTTGGGAGGACTAAGAAGATGAGGAGAATTTGGTCAATACGAGGATTTGGGGGATTGAGAATGATTAAGATGAATTAAGAGGTTGTGAATTTTTCCATAATTAATAGCAATCCAATTCTCTTGCTATACCAGTGTATCAACTCTAATTGTTCTAAATCCATCGATATCCTTTCAAATCCTTCTATATCCCTTATAATGCCTCCATTCCAAAACTTTAATATAACAACGAGGTAGAAGTTCTTGGTAAATTTCCTAGATTCTCTTACTAGGAAACCGAGATGAGGGTTAGATCTTATTATAGAAAATCGACATTTTTGTTAAATCTGGCGCCGCACTCGAAAATCTAGAGAATTTTGAAGTCGAGAAACCACCAAATTGATTAAAAATTATAATTATTTTTGGAGAATATGACAAGAAATTCTCAATATTTTTCCTATTTTTCAAAAAAAAGATTGAAAAATAAAGCCACAGTCTCTATTTGAACCACAGTCTCTAATATAACCACAAAAATCGAAGGGTTGAAAAATAGAACCACTGTAGTACTATTAGAATAAATACGGTATGTTGAGTTTCTTTTTTATAAATTTCAATTGAAGACTAGCTAAAATGCCTTAACTTTTTACCTCGGGGTAAACTAAACTTAAAAATTCTGTATAATTTTTAAATAATGTTTATCTTTATCTTTTAATTTACAGCTGAAAATTGTTTAAATTCTATATTGAAATATGGCAAAAAAAAATTTTTAATGACATTTTTTGAAGTAAACTAAAGTGCCAATATTATATCGTAAACACATAATTTATTAACGCCTCTGCTTTAGTCCTCCTGCGCTATGTGTTCAATTTTTGTTAAGAAAAACGAAGTAATTAATGCCTTCAAAAAAATAACAGATTTTGTTACTTTCAGCTTAGCGACATTTTTTCAGCTAACTGACAGCTTGACACCAAGGACATTTTTTTGAGCTTATATTTGCGAATTTTTGTCTAAATTTTTAAATATTTATTTAAACTGAAAAAGCGTCTAATATCAACATTTTCACCTGTAAATATTTAAATTCAACAATAAATATTTTTCAGTATACAGGTGAAAATTTATTTAATTTTATGTTGACATACATATGGCAAAAAATTCTAATGAAATTTTTTGTTAAAGTACAAATTTACTTTAGAAACCTTTAAGTATTTATAATAAGAATATTATCGAGATATATCTAAAATAATAAAATAAGCGGAGATTAGGGATTCCGATAAAATTTTAATTTCTGATTTCGGGAATCGGGTCGGTTACCCACGTTACATTTTTGTAATGTAATAACGGAAAACTTATGTTTCTATAGTACAGTGGATATATTAATTAATAGAGTAGTAGCCGATAATAATATAGATGGTTAGTATTGAGTAATAAACAATCTCCAACAACAACCAACGGATTAAACAGAGAATAAACTTTGAAACCGGAAAATGTCCAGCTCTTCCTCAACATTTCCGCCAATGACTTTCTGCAAAAATGCATTTTTGCTGCATTCTTCTCCTTTCCTCTCCATACAATAATTTTTCTCATGTAAAACGCAAATTTTAATTTCTGATTTCGGGAACAGAAAATAAGCTTTAACAGGTTCTTTCCGCATGTAGGTGATCTAAAGATAATTCGCTGCCTGGGGGAGGATTATCTAAAAAAGTAAACGCAGGGCCAAAAAGCCATATTACTCCATGTTAAAACAGAATAATTTTTAAAATAAATCCTCCCCCAGGCAGCGAATTATCTTTAGATCACCTACATGCGGAAAGAACCTGTTAAAGCTTTATATTCTTGTTTGAAGTAGGTAAGTGAAGACTAGAGTTGGGCGGGATCGGGATCCCGAAGTAAAATCGGGATCGGGATTTTGGAATGATGATCCCGATCCCGGTCCCGATCCCGACTGCGGGATCGGGATTGGACGAAATCGGGATCGGGATTCGGAATAATGATCTCGATCCCGGTCCCGACTCGGGATCGGAATTGAAAAATCGGGATCGGGATTTAGTTAAAAAAATTTTTAAAATTTAAGGGATAAAGTATTAACGATAAGGTGATTCTGATGGATTAAGAGGGATATCGTTGATTAATGAGATATTGGGATCTAGATGGACATTAGGAATTTGGGTCATCATGAATTTTCTTCTTATTCACCGCCGGAGGCAAAAATTTTGAAAAATTTCGAAGATTCTCAAGCCAAAATCTTCATTTTTAGCGCCGCAGGCGAAAATTTTGAAAATTTTGGATGGCGTAGAAGCCAAATTGCTTTCTTTTCAGCTCATTAATATATATTTTCATTAATTTATAAAATCCCGATTTCATCGGGATCCGATTGCTAATCCCGATCCCGGTCCCGATCCCGGCTCGGGATCGGGATCGGCCAAAACCGGGATCGGGATTTGTCTTTCGGGTTCGGGATCAGAAAAATCGGGATCGGGATTCAAAAAAACCGGGATAATCCCGCCCGATCCCGACCGGGATCCCGATCCCGCCCAACTCTAGTGAAGACATTTGTTTACACATTTGTTTATCGCAAAAAATCTTCAGATTATGAAAAGCTTACTACAACCGCAAATCCTCTAATTTATGACAAATTATTCTAGAATTTTAATTGATTCTTAACAGGCTATCCTTTGAAAGCTTCTCAGCAAAATTACTTAATCTATGAAAATCTCTTCACCTATTCTACATTAGTAACAGTGCTATCATAATTTCAAGAGCTTTTCATCTGTGGAGCCGTTTTGGAAAGGAAAGCTCCTTAGAGGAGAGTGCTTAAATTGAATGCTGTCATTTAAATAGAGGATTTACGTATATAAACTACATTTTAGATAAAATAATCTTTTGCTTTTCAATAATGCTTGTTCTACCTTTCTTCAAGGTATTTTCTTCAAACTCTTTTGGATTCCACAAAATCATCCGTAATTCCGGCATATTTGCGTTTACCTTTTAATTGATACATATTATCTTCATTTAAATATTTAGTCTCATTAATTAATTATTAAATTTTTTTTACCTTCCTCCAAAACTTCTCAATTTTCGCGATTTTTCTGATTACAACGAGATTTAATAAGGGATCGGAAAATGAGAAGCCCTATATGTAGTAATCAAGGCTGATGCTTCCATTGAAAGTATTTTTGTTTCCTAGTTAAGCAACACATTTCAAAGCAATTTATTTCAGGATTGTTATAAATACGGATATACGAGATTTTTGGAATTCGAACATGATTTCGGTTTTAGATACCAAGATTCTTGATTGATAAAATTTTTTGGTTTCTAGATGATTTTTATTTACTGCGAAATTTAATAAAGGACCAGAAATGAATCCATGCGGTGATCAAGTCTCGATTCCTGTCAGTACAACGTATTCTCGTATTTTACCTTTACTGATTTTTACTATTGGGTCTGAAAGAGTTTTCTGGGCCAAAAGTAATCATGGATTTCTAATCATGGATTTTTGCTTTCCCAATTTTAAATATCTACCCCCAGTAATCTACTTTTATTTTATTTATTAACTAAAATTTTAAATTTTTACGAGGATTATACTTGTTCTCATCATCTTCACCAACATTCTCTTCATTTAAACTTTCTTCCTGCTTTTCTTCCTTCTCCTTTAACTTTTCTTTATTCTCCTTCTCATTCAAAATCTGTCCTTGCTCCACGTTTTTCACTTTTTTATTTGCAAGTATTTCCAAAAATGTTTTCTCATTATATTTTTTAATTAAATATAAATAAGCTACATCTTGCATATGTTGCATTTTATCAGAATTAAGTTTATAACATATTTTGTCTCCTTGCTCATCCATAGTTTGAGTATTAATTTGCGAGTCTTTTCCAGTTTTATCCTCTTCTTTAGGTGTAGCTTTGTGCTCTTTTTGAGACGTTTCCTCTTCCTTAGGTGGTGTCCAGCAAGCCTGAAAATTTTTTAAATTCAAATGTGCTCGATCAAATAAAAATGATTAAGTTATTATTTGATTAAGAAGAAGGTTAGAAGGCTGGAGGTATTTAAGTTTGTATTATTTTACTAATACTCTCGATGATCTACATAATTAAGATTCGAAAAAGAAGGAAAACGATTAAATTTGTCGAAATTTAAAAACTGAATTATTTTTTCAAGAATTACTTTGAGGGAGGGCCACGGGGCCTCACAATCTCTCAAATTCCCCGATTTTCGGGGACGGGGAACAACCCTTGTACTTATATTAAGAGCGTTTAAAACTTAAGATATTTATAATATTTTCTTAACCTCAAAATTTTCAAGAATATAATCTATACGTTCCTCCAAATCAAATAATTTTTCTAATTCAGTTTTAACATCAATTTCCTTATCAGCAGGCTCTATTTGTATCCACATAACCTGTTGTGCATCACTACCCTTTTTTAATTTTAATTCTTTCTTAATAGTAGAATCAACGCCAAATGCGAATGTAATGGACTCAGTCCATGCATTGTCTGTACTTAACTGGAAATTTAAAAAACTTTATTTGTGTATTTTATGTAAAGGACGAGATCATATCCTCGAGATTCACAGGAAAAATCCTTCGACCCACCCACTTTACTCAACACCTATTAAACATCATAAAACACTATGTTTTATTGTTACCTGACTTAACTCAGCACCACCAAATTTAACCAATTCTCCTTTACCAATAATTCCTTCCATTTTTTCAAACTCTTCTTTGTTTCTTTTTTTCTTTAAACCAAAAGCCTCTTCTATTAATTCTCTCTTTGCGGAATATTCAAATTCCTCTCCCATGTCTACAAACCCACCCGGCGTGACGATATCTTTAATTGAAATTATTTCATAAAATATCAAAAATTTTTAATATGAAACTAAAAAAATTTATTTCTTACACGATCTCTTCTCATACTTGCCATTTTCAACACCAAGAAACTCAAATTTATTAAAATCTTTTTCATCAGTGACATGTAAAATCGCTCCAACTCCGTTAGTAGGCCCCCACTGACCATACGATCCACGGCCTTTAAAACCTGTTCGAGCTACTGGATTGAGTGGGTAGCCATTATGCACAGGATATTTACTAAAATAATTTTTAATGTTGAAATATTAATCCAAAATTAAAAAATACTAAATAAATAGAATACATTTATCATGCGATATCACCTCCTAGAAACGCCTAAGGGCATAATTTGGTATGGGCTTTAGATTAGAGTACGTCCGAGTCGAACGAGTTTGAGTTACTCGACTCGATTGCTCGGGTTTTTGCGTCATTACTCGGGCTCGGAACTCGGAATCATAATACTCGGATTACTCGAGTTCCCAATTACTCGGTTGAATATCCTTAACTCTATTTTAAGTTTTGAATAAATTTTACCCGTAAAATGAGCAACGATTAATCACTCGATGTTTATCATTTCCTTTCTGATGGTCAGGAAGTAAATCCAATTTGTTATCAGAATGCCAAAGGCCTTTATATAGATTAACATCCTCTAAATCAGGTTTAATCCAATAACTTGATGGCAAATAGCTTCGTGCTAAATTTAATCCAAATACTTCAGTTGCTTTGTATTTTACGTAAAGTTCGGCTAAATTAAAGTAAATAATTTTTAATTTTTAAGTTAAAGGATTTGAGTAAATTGTTAAGAAAATTTTATAAACATACCTAAATATATTCTCCTAAATGACAGGTATTTTTAAAAGAAGTTTGTCAAGAGTAGAAGAATAAGCTTGTAGATAAAATTCTTATTGAGATTATACTAATTGTAAGTACTCGTAAGAAGATGTATATATGGATAGTCTGATAATTATTTGTCTTATAGATAAATCGCGGCTTCAGTTGGTCCTGCATATAAACGGTCAGGAATGGAAATTTAGAAAAGATAAAGATTTGTGAAAAGAATATTGTTATGAACTTTAAATCAGATAGTAACTTTAGCTATAAATTTCTTTTAAAATTTAACAAAACATACACAAATCTATCTTGCAGCCTCTAACTTTATCGAATTTATAACAAGAACGCTCATTTCTTCGTTCCATTTCAAAATTTTCAATTTTGAATGGAAAATTCCTTTTATCTTTAGAGATTGAATATAAAAATTCTTGATTTCTTTTTTGAACTAAAATTTTATGAAAAATATCCAAATTATCATATTCCTCAACTTTTTGTCTCATTTCCATTCTTTCAACATCTGTAACTCCCAAATATTTAATTATTTCCTCAATTCCTTTATTTTTTAATTCTTTAATAATTTTTATAAATTCATAAATTTTCTTTTTAATTTCAGCTTTCTTTACTTTTTTAATTTCTTCTATAATTGTCTCCTTTTCTAAAATCTAAAAGTTTGACCAATTAGTTTTTCAAATAAATTTATATTTGACAAAATATGTATAAATTTAATTAAATTTAACACATTAGAAAAATCGCCCAACTCGGTAAGAATTATAAGATGCAAGGGGTGATGAGTTTTAACCATAATAACCCTCAGACTCCAATGTATAAGTTTCTTCACTTTATGTTTCCTCAAAATAACTCTCATTTACAAAATACTTATAGATGTAATAAAAATGATTTATTATCGGATTTTAGCTTAGAGCTGGCTAGAGTTGGGTGATCATGGAAAGCCCCGGATATTCATATCCGATATACGATCAGAAATTCTTCTGATATTGAAATTTTTTTCCAATCTGCCAGCCGGTAATTCAATAAACGTATAGAAAATATTTTAAAAAACATGCACAAATTAAATTTACTTCTTCAGTCTTTAATCCTTTTATCTTATCTTCAACTTCTTCCATCTCCGTATTTTTCAGCATAAATTCAATCCCTCCCTTTAATTTTTCAATATTTTCTCTCATTTCTTTAATTTCAATCCCCAGAATTTTTTTCATTAATTTCCACCATTTTTCCGTATTTTTCTTCAATTTTGTCCATCTAATTTCATCCATAATTTCCATCATTTTTTTAATTTCATATTTGCCTTCTTTTTCATTTTCTTCAATATTTTTCAACAAATTTTTTATTTGTTTAACTTTTTTCTCCAATTTAACTCTCTTTTGTTCAATTTCTTTCTCTTTTTTTCTTCCTTAACTTCTCCTTTTTTTCTTCCTTAACTTCACTTTTCTTTTCTTCCTTTATATCCTCTTCCATTTTTTCTTCTTTATTTTTTTCCTTTGTAACAATCTTCACCATTTCACCAATTTCTTTAATTATATTTTTAATTTCATCCTTTACTTCCTTCTTCTCCTTCTCAATTTTCTTTTCTTCTTTCCTAGCCTTTTCAATTTTCTTCCTTTCCTTCATTAACTCTTCAATTTTATCCATTCCTATTTTCTCCATTAACTTTTCAATTTCATTTTCCTTTACTTCCATAATTTTTCCTTCAATTTCAATATTTTTTCCTTCAATCATTTTATTTTCTTTCAATTTTTTTAATATTAATTTTTGCAAAATTAATTCTCGAAACATTAAATCTTTAAGCCATTCTTCTTGTTTTGCATATACTTTTTTGAAATCTTTAATTTTTATTGTGTCTTTCACGAAGAATGACGCTAAATTAATTATTTTAATTTAAATGTTTGAAAATATTAATTTATTAATCTTTTGTTTAATTTAGGAAGTTAAATTAATTTTTTGTTTGTGATACATAAAGGGAGGGAGTTTAATTAATTTTTCTCATTCTAAGAACCATAAGTGATCCTGAATTTAAAAAAATACAGATAGCCTTGAATTTAAGTGTGTTTTTTAATTTGTGTGGATACTATGTAGGTTGGGGAGCTGCCTGAGCGATTCAAATAATTTAAGGGCCCTCTCATTTTTAAATAAACCTCAAGGTTTATTTAAAATCGAGTGGATTAAAAGAAGTTATATTTATTTGGCGCTTTTAGAAACATTCCATTTAAAAAATAAATAAGCTAACATATCTCTTCTTTTCCATTTATCATTAACTTTACTGGATCATATACACTCTTGTATGTTTGGGGCAACGGAAGTTGATATTCCGGCTTGTAGAATTCTCCAGTACAATCTTTAGGATCGTTTGGAGGCAAATAAATGTCTTGTGGCAATCTTGGAATATCTTCCAAAATTTTGTTATCCTTTGCCTCTCCATCTAATAGGAGTAAGGCAATTGCTACCAGGACAAGCCAATGCATTAGAAACTTTTTCTAAAAATTTTCTACTTTTTCGAGTGATTTCAAAAAAATTGAATAATTTTTTAATCTGAATTTTAATAAATATTAAAGACTATAAAATTTAAATAAAATTAAAAATAATTAATTCAAGGCTAACTTTAAGCCATTTTATTGAAAAAATTAAACATTTAAAATGCTTAATTTTTATGTATTGCCTTGCCCGCCCATCTCTCTCCCCTCCCGCCCCCTTTCTATCACTCTCTCTCTCCCATTTTTTATAAAGTGCATTTATTAAAAATTTTCTCGTGATGTTTGCCTGTTTATAGCCTTTTAAAAAATATTTTAAAAGGGCAATTATTGAATATTTTGTAGTTTGTTTAAAATCGAATTTAAGAGAGGGATTGGCATATGATTATGAAGAAATTTAAAATATTAAAGTGCATGTTTACTTATTGAAGAAAATCTTTTAAATTTTGTTTGGGGATTAAAAACCTTGGGTTCGTCCCCCTTGGTTTCGTCCCCTTGGGCAAAAACTTTGGATTCGTCCCACTAAGTTAATAAATGGTAAAATGTTCTAGTAAACTTAGAATTTGACTAGCGGATATTCTTTATTGCTATTGTCTTTTGTTTTTTTCCATCTTTAGATTATTTTCTGCATTTAAAATGATTAGAAGCCGGCTTGAAAAATTAGCACGGGTTAAGAAACGGCAGCGTTTAGAAGATTCTTCGATTAATCAGACTTCGTCCTCGCATCAAGGCAATTTGGAAAACAACGAAAATCAAGTCAACGTAAGCAGCGAGTCTGATAATGCTGATTCCGATTCTGAGTTTGTTTTTATTGTTTTTATTTCTAGTTTGTTTTTATTTACCGGTTCTTTTTTACTTATTTTTGTTGATTCTAGTTTATTAATTTTTTATGTTTATATTTGACGAATTCGATAAAAATTTTACTTTTTACTTTGTGTTTTTGATTGATTTTAGGCTTTTATTAAGGTTTTGAAGTTTGTTTAAAAAGATTGCTCATGTTTTTATTAAGATTCCTCCTTTTTAATTTTCAGTTCGACAAAGTGAGTATTTTACTCTGCTGGACATTTTGAGATGGGACGAAACCAAGGGGGACGAACCCAGGGTTTTTGTACAGTGGGACGAAACAAAGGTTTTTGTTCAGGGGGACGAACCCAGGGTGGGACGAAACCAAAGCGCGCCAAGCAGAGGTGTTAATAAATTATGTGTTTATGGGGTACGGCCCACTTTGTCGCGCGGCCACATTGTTGCCGAGCCATAACTTGCTTTAAGATTTCCGAATTTTCCGAACCAAAATTTTCGGATATCCAGAACCGGTCAGACCAAAAGTCTCGGACGTCTCTAGTATATTCTAGAGACCGGCGCGGGACGGGATACCGACGGGATTTTCCGAGATCCCGATCCCGAAATCCCGGATTTTTTTGATTTCCGAGACTTTTGGTCTGACCGGTTCTGGATATCCGAAAATTTTGGTTCGGATATCGGTTCCGGTTCCGGATATCCGGAGATTTTCCAAGAACCGCCATCCTTAGTCTTGAGTCTTGGAAAATTTTCAGCTCGGACATCTCTAGAATATACCACTCAAAATATGTCAGTTTTTAGCTCAAGTTAATATCCATTCATATTTAAAATATTAAAATTTAATATTAATTATAATATTAATATCCATTCATATTTAAAATATCAAAATTTACATAATCTGATATGAATACACCAGTTAATTTCCCTGTTTCACCTTCTTCCCTATAAAGAGCAATGCTGAGAAGTAGTTTTAAATCTGTAAATTAATTATTAAAAAATAAATCTTTTGAAATAATTCTTTTACTTTCTCTATCTCCAATTAAATTAAACAGAATTTCAAGAGAAATTAATAAGCGAAGATTTTCATTGGAAGATTGAATATTTTTTAATATATTAGCTTTAATTTTAATTAAATTTCCTTCAAGTATTTGTTTATTAAATTTTTTTGCGTAAGGAATTTTTAACTGTTTTAAGTAATTGGCACGATATTTCCATTCACGAATAATTCCTTCTTGTCTAGAAATAGATACATCTCCAAATACCTAAATACGTTCAAATTAATTTACCTATGTATAAATACCTATGTATATCATAAATTATTTAATTATCAATCGAAATCTCAATCAGTTGTGCTATGTATTTTTCTCCCAAATTTGCCCTACTAATCCCAAGATTTCATATCTCATCTCTAACCCAACACTTCTAAAAACTTTTTTTATACTTGCTTTAAAAATTAGAAGAATAGTAAAATCTTATCAAAATTTATTTCTCAAAAAATACTCTCTTAAATTTGCGTAAAACTTTTTCCCTAATATTATATTATTTTTTTTACTTTTCAAAATATTTAAGAAAATTTTAATAAAACATAAATTTTAAAATCAAATTCATTGTAAAGCATATAGCTATTTACTAATTCCTAAGACTACAGTATGTGGAGGGTGTAATGGACAACACATCAGTCCGGTCTACTGAAGATGCTGGTTCGCTTCCAGCCGCCGACCAAATAACCGATCAACCTAAACCTTTTTATCATCGATCCATCTTAATTCCTAGAGAATCTCGGACCCTCTCCTTCACTCTCAGTTCATTTAGTTAAACTTTAGAGACAAAAATTAGCTACATGATTCTTTATCAAAATTTTAAAAATATGAAAAATTTTCTTTAACTACTTCACCTGAATATAATCACTAAATGAGGGTTTACGTTCAGATATGAATTTTATTGTATTATTTTCCTCTCCATTATCAACATTAATAATAAAATCTTTGTAATTAATATCAATTGTTAAAGTAAAATCACTGTCAGGGCTAATTGGATTTTTTTCAACTTTTATTAATTCTTTTTTGCATTCTGTTTTATATTTGGTGTTTTTACAATATTTTAAAATTAATTTATTCTTTAATTCAGTATTTTTGGAGTCAAACACAAAATGAATATTCAAAATGTTTTCTCCGACTAAAATAATTTTAATTTTTAAAGAGACAAGAAAAATTTATTGTCAAAGCAATAAATATATATTAATAGTCAGGCTTAGTAATGGATATGGATAATATCCGGGCAAGGATACCAAAATCCGTGTACATTACCAAGCCTTTTAGGCTCTTGTCCAGTTTATGCGTCCCATGAAAGTATATGCGTCCCATCAACAAAAAATTGGATATTTCTTGGTGTTGCAAAGTAGGGGTATGGTTTCAAAGCATTTCTTCATGTTCGGGATCTACGTCCACTGGGTCTGGGACCGTTCCTTACCCTATAACTCGAAATTTCTGAAAGTTATAGCCAATTTTTAAAAATTTCAGAAAAACGATTTTAACTTTCAGAAATTTCGAGGGATAGGGTAAGGAACGGTCCCAGACCCAGTGGACGTAGATCCCGAACATGAAAAATGCTTTGAAACCATACCCCTACTTTGCAACACCAAGAAATATCCAATTTTTTGTTGATGGGACGCATATACTTTCATGGGACGCATAAACTGGACAAGAGCCGCCTTTTAACCTTTTTACAGATACAAAATATACCAAGTCCCGGAAATTTAATTACTAAAATATTTCGGAAAGCTCAAAAATTTGCTTAGTGTTAGTAACTGAATTTATCAGAACTTTTATTTATTCTAATTAAGACATTCAACAAGATTCATGGCGAAAATTCCAAATGTTTGCTAACCAACCTTCAGAAAAATCTTGGTTGCTGGAGAGAGTAACCAATACTAGGGAGCAAAGGTGGTTGGGACAGTCAGAGGTGTCGGACGGAAATGGAATTCCGACCCATCTCTGCTAGGAAGGATGTAATTATATGATGTTATTTTATGAATGCGAATTATAACTAGAATTTCGAGGGAGAGGGGACAATTGAGTAAATATAAATTTACTTTTTTGATTATTTTTCTTATTCTGTGGCATACAATTCCTTTGTAAATAACAAAAATTTATATGAAATTCTTTAGCATCAATAGGGACATTTCCTTTAAAGATTAAACGATCTCCAGGTAAGAGTAACCCTCCTCCTCCATAAATTTTAATACTTTTATTGGTTTCTCCATCAATGTAATTTAAATATCTAATTGGAATTGAATAATCATTTTCATTATTTAGCTAGAAATTTTTGAAAAATATTTTGACAAAAATTAATTTTTTTGTATGCCTATAAAGTTATGATCAGTGATGGAAAAGCTCCAAAATTTCTCTGGAACCGGTTTCAGTTCTGGAACTGCTTTTTGAATTTGTTCAGTTCCAGTTCTGAAACTGGTTCCAAACAGGTTTCAGACCTTTAGCAGTTCCACGGTTCCGGTTCCAAACAGGTTTCAGACCTTTACCAGTTCCACGGTTTCAGTTCCGGAACTGGAACTTTTCCATCACTGTTTATGGTGTATTAAAGATAAAAAAATCAAAATTTTATTTATTTAAAATTATTTTTAATAAAACTAACAGGACAATCATTACTGCTAATTATTCTCGGTTCCTCAATGAGATCAACATCATTAAACTTGAAAAATAAATTTAAAAAAAAATTAAAAATTTACCGTTATTCGATTCAATTTAAAATATTCTTTTGGAATTTTTAAATTCATGATATTTTCAAAATTAAATTCAATTTCAAAATTTTTATCTTCAAATTTACATGTCGGCACTTTTATTCTAAATTCAAAAGTTTCATTTATTTTTATTTTTTCTTTTGTTTCAGCCGATTGTTTTGTTTCAAAATTAAAGTTTTTATCTTTAATTGTTCTAAATTTTATTTTACTCTCTTTATTTTGCCCAAATTCTACGTAGATTTCAAAAAAAATTTCTCCAATTTCTAAAATATTTTTTTTTTAATTTTTTATTTTAAAAATAAAATGGCAATACTTTGGAAGTCGCCCCCCCTTTTTTTTCCCCGATTTTTATTTGTTTTATTTTTTTCTCATTTTATTGTAAAATATAGATCGTTGAAACTAAAATCAACGAAATCTGACTTACGTGAACAAAGTTATGACCACTTACTTTAATCCCTTGCAGCGGCATGAAAATCCCTTCTAGCAAGGATTTGGCTTCATTATTTTGTTCAAGATGATCAAATCTAACCGATAATGGCATCATTTGAAGAGCCCTTTCGAATGATAAATAATAGATTATATATTAAGCAAAAAGGCTCATAATGGTCAGAAAAATCAAATCAAATTAAATTGTAAGGTGAGAAAAATATGAGAAAAGCGAGGGCGACTTCCAAAGTATTACCAATAAAATAAACCTAATTGTCCATTTTTTCGATTAATATCTCCTATTTCTTCAGAATTTGAAAGAAACGAAATTATCATATTTTTTGGAGTTTTTGGTATAATCCCTCTAATAATTATTACTTCATTCCCTTCTAATTCTTTTTCAAATTTTAAAATGTAAGTTTCAGGTGAACGCTAAATTAAAAATACATAGGTAGGTATATTTAATCAAGTTATTTAAACCGTATTATTTAAATTAAAAGGTGAGGGTTCATCTATTCTACGAATTTGAAGTTCTTTTAACTAAATAAAAAAGAATTAAAAGTATTTTTAAATCTACCGTATATACTGTATTTATTACCTCCATCAAATATTACCCCACCTCTATTATTTACCCACTCCAGCGTAGGATCGTAAAAATATATACGGTAATTTTAATTAAATTTAATTATATAATTATTTTACATCAATTCCATTAATTCTAATTTGTTTCCACCAATTAAAACCCCAAAATTCTTTAACAATTTGCTTATTATTTAAACAAATTTCTATATAGTTTTTGTGTTGATATATTTCCAATTCAAATACTTTATCAATTTTTAAATATTTAATTGTGTCTTCAGAAAGGGGTATATTCATTTCATTCGGCTTAATTTTTTAATTTGAGAAAGTAATTAAAAAATATTAA